TCAGTGAAAACTCACCCCTTGCAGTAGTCCCCTCCCCCTCCCGGCCCCGCACTGCCCCACCACCCCACCACCGGCCCCTTTGACTTCACTTCTGTGGCCCCCCCCCCCCCCCTTTGAATTCACTGCATGTGGGTGTGACTTAATATTGAAGCTCTCACCGCCCCTCAGCACCCCCCTCCCGCCCTCACCGCCCCCCCTCCCGCCCTCACCGCCCCCACCGCGCCTCGTCCCTGCCAACTCACTGCTGCGGATGAGTGCTTTTCATAAAGGGCTCCAGCGCACGCCCAAACCCACACCGCCCACCACCCCCACCGTTTAAGGTGGTGTTGGTTTCAAGGGCTTGATAGTGGATTGGTCTTTTGGAGGGTCGCAGTGCCGCAGACCCCACCATTTGCGTGTGTTTTTGCGTAGAAATGGGATAGCCAACCACAAGCGCGCATCAGGAGCATCAGCGGCCCTGTCCGGGACCCCAGGCGCGCATCATGAGCATCAGCGGCTCCGGCCTGACACGGCGGCCCACGCGTGCATAAGCTTTCCCTCTGTGTGGCTGTGGTCCCGTGGCACGGTTTCAGCTGAGTTTTAAGGCTTTTTTTTAGCCCCCGGTGCCAAACCCGTGAGTTCCTTCTAGTTCCGACTATGAAAGCCGACGCGTGCCCGGCGCGCGCAAGCGCGCACGCACCCGCCCCCCCCCCCACCTTCCCGGTTTGCAGAGCAACTCTCCTCGAGCTTCTGCCTGCGCTGCCCGCCCATGGGCGCAGCCCCGTAAATAAGCTCTTAACAATTTCTAAGACCGAATTGAGGTTAGACTAACGGTGCAGTGCCCAGCCCCACGGATGACACAGGCTGAGCGGCATACTCCATGAGGAGTAAACGGTTTGCAGCGCAAACACAACATGTGTATGCTGTATATGTGATCAGGCAACTGTTCCTCCCTCCCACTCCACTTGTTTTGCGGGGGTGTTTGGTATTTTGGGACCCCACATTCGGATGTCCTGCAACGGGATCTTGCTTTACAAGGCATGTTTTGTCTTGTTATCTGTGTGTTTCTATTTTGGGTATGTTTTTGGGCTTTTGGGCTGCGGGCTAGGGAGATCAGAGGTTCAATCACATACTCGAGAAACATGGGAATCCTACACGCTCCCGCCCATGCACGCGGCTGCAGTTCGCGCTTATCGTTATGCCACGTTGGTGTCTTTCGGCCGTGGATCGGGGCAGGATTCAAACGTTTTGAAGCAAGCTCCGCACGGCTTCAACAAAGCAGGGAAACACAATGCTCGCATGATGGGGCTTGGGCAGGATTTAAACGTTTTGAAGCAAGCTAGCTCACACGGCTTGAACAAAGCATGGAAGCACAATGCTCGCATGATGGGGTTTGCGCAGGATTCAAACGTTTTGACGGCTTCAACAAAGCAGGGAAACACAATGCTCGCATGGGGGGGGGGGGGGTTGGACAGGATTCAAACGTTTTGAAGCAAGCTCGCACAGAGTTAAACAAAGCAAGGGAATACAATGCTCGCATGATGGGAATTGGAAAGGAGTCAAATGTTGTGGAGCAAGCTCGCACGGCTTTGTTGTGCGAGCTTTAACAAAGCACGGAAACACAATGGCAAGCTCGCATGGCCTTAACAAAGCAGGCAAACACAATGCTCGCATGATGGGCGTTGGACAGGATTCAAACGCTTTGAAGCAAGCTTGCGTCATCAGACTCGGCTTGAACAAAGCAGGCAAACACAATGCTCGCATGATGGGGGTTGGACAGGATTCAAACGTTTTGAAGTTTTGAAGCAAGCTCGCGTCATCAGACTCGGCTTGAACAAAGCAGGGAAGCACAATGCTCGCATGATGGGGTGTGGACAGGATTTCAACAAAGCAGGCAGACACAATGCTCGCATGATGGGGTTTGGGCAGGAGTCACACGTTTTGAAGTAAGGGTTTTTGAACAGGATTCAAACGCTTGAAGCAAGCTCGCACGGCTCAAGCAAAGTAGGGAAACACAATGCTCGCATGATGGGTTTGCATAGGATTCAAACGTTTTGAAGCAAGCTCGCACGGCCCAAAGCAGGGAACAAAATGCTCGCATGATGGGGTGTGGACAAGATTCTGGGCAAATTACAATAATTCAGCATCTCGCACCTCGAAATGTTTTATTTCAGCACGGCCCCTGATTTCAAAATATGTTTTCACCTCCAAAATTACTTCGTAACTCGGCTTCAGGATTCTGGCCATACATCGGGCCAGAGGTTCCTACTCTAATTGGCTCTCTCTGTCACTTCCAATGAAGAAGCTGCTTATTGTTAGGAGAACCTGGAAACGGAAGCCTGGGGAAAGCATTCCCACGAATTTGCTGCTGATTCATTTGTTGTGGGTGAGGGGGCGGGGTTTGGGGTTGTGTTTTTTTTTGTGAGTGGGGGGGGTAGGGGTTGGGGTGTTTTGTTTTTGTCGAATTTGCCGCAAATTCGTTGTTTTATTTTTTGGGGGGGGGGGGGGGGGGGGTGGGGGGCGAGGTTGTTGTGGTTTGGGGGGGGGGGGGGGGGGTCGTTGTTCTTGTAGGGGGGGGGGGGGGGGGGGGGGGCTGTTCGAATTTGCTGCAAATTCGTTTTTTTTGGTGGGGGGTTGGGGGTAGGGGGGTGAGTAGGGGGTAGGGGGTTGGGGCTGGGGGCGGGGGTGTGTGTCGTTGTTTTTGGGGGTAGTAGAAGGGGGGCAGGCCCTCACCCCAAAAAAACACACAAATTTGCAGGGGACACCCTCCAAGGAATCGACTGGGGAACTTTCATGTAGAAGGGCGGCGCCTTACCCGCTGTGCCAACGAAATCTGTAGAAACAGGTTTCCCTGAGCCAATGTTTTTGTGGGTGGGCTGAGACATTTTAAGGTTTAGGGTTCAGGGTTAGGTTTACGGTTCAGGGTTTGGGCTTCGTAAGCAAAGAGTAACTCAACCCGAAGAGCTCCTAAACCTGTTTTTGTTTTCTTCGAATTTGCTGCAAATTCTTTTTTTGCTGTTTTTTGGAGGGGCAGGGGCGGGTAGGGGTAGGGGGCGGACAGGGCGGGGGGCGGGAGGGACGGGCCTTTTTTTGTTTACAATAAGGGCCCCCTGCCCGCCCCCCTACCCCCGCCCCTACTACCCCCCCTCCCCACAAGGGAAACTGGCCAGGATTCACACGTTTTGAAGCAAGCTTGCACTGCAGGGGAATGCTCGCATGATGGGGTGTGGACAGGAAACGTTTTGAAGCAAGCTCGCACGGCTTCAACAAAGCGCAGGCAAACACAATGCTCGCATGATGGGGTTTGGGCAGGAGTCACACGTGTTGAAGTAAGGGTTTGAACAGGATTCGAACGCTTGAAGCAAGCTCGCACGGCTCTAACAAAGTGGGGAAACACAATGCTCGCATGATGAGTTTGGATAGGATTCAAAACGTTTTGAAGCAAGCTCGCAACAAAATGCTCGCATGATGGGGTTTGGACAGCACTCGAACGTTTTGAAGCAAGCTCGCACGGCTTTAACAAACAGGGAAACACAATGCTTGCATGATGGGGTTTGGACAGGATTCAAACGTTTTGACGGCTTCAAGAACGCAGGGAAACTGGCCAGGATTCAAACGTTTTGAAGTAAGCTCGCACTGCTTCAACATGGCAGGGGAACACAATGCTCGCATGATGGGGTTTGGACAGGATTCAGGCTTTCGGGGGGCTTTTGTGGCTAGGTAGGGTTGGGGGGCTTACATGGGGCATCTGGAAATTCGCCTCGGCTTCCTGCCGAGAAGCGTCTGGAACAAGCAGACCCGGATCGGGCCTCCTTCCCCCTAAGCTGTTTGGGACTTTTGGACCCCCGCTCCTTGACCTCCTGGGACCTCTGGGCCGTTCTGGGACTCCTGGGACCCTCCTGAGACCTTCCGGAAACCTGGCTGGACTGCAACCATGAAGAACCTTTCCCAGAAACCCTGTCCGGGGGCCGGCCGGGCTGCCGAGGCGGCGCGCGCAAGCGTTTGCAATTACGGGCTGTTATTTGTTTCTGGGCGGTTCTGCCTGGATTTCGGGTCATGGGGGAACTTACGGGTGTTTATAATATTTGTTTTTCACGGGTTCTGGGCGTTTCTGCGTGGATTTCGGGCTACCACGAAAGGCAGAATCCTACATGCATAGCCCCCGGTGTTGGGCCCAAATGCTCGTATGATGGGATTTGGACAGGATTCAGATTCAACCGATTTGAAGCAAGCACGTGCGGCTTCAAAAAAAGGGGAAACGAAATGCTGCTCGCATGATGGGGTTTGGACGGGATCCAATCGTTTTGAAGCATGCTCGCACGGCCTTAACTTAAAGCAGGGGGACAAAATTCTCGCATGATGGGGTTTGGACAGGATTCAAACGTCAAGAAATGCAGGGAAACACAATGATGAGCCAGTCCGCGGGTCTGGTACGTTCAAAAGACCCGTCGGTCTGCAAGCCTGTCAGTCGGGGAGTTTGTTATTCGATATCCATCGCATATACTATCTGCCTATGTTGTTAAGCCGTGCGAGCTTGCTTCTATGCATCCATATGAATCCTGTCCAAACCCCATCATGCGAGCAATGTGTTTCCCCGCATTTTTAAAGCAGTGCGAGCTTGCTTCTCTAAATCCATTTGAAAACCTGTCCAAGCGCCGCTCTTGCACTGCGCCCAGGTGCAAGTGCATCCCGTGTTGCGTTGCGTATTGTTTTGCTTCTCGTTTGGTCTCTGCAGTTCCTACTTGTCGCTCGGCCTTACTGCAGCCGTGGTTGTGAGAAACCGCACGCCTTGCGTCTTCCAGGCTGCAGTGGCGCCAAAGAATCGTCAGCAACTTAAAATTCTGACATCACTGGCATGCTGCGAATCGTGCCCAAAAACCAACACCTTCAACACCTTTCACCGGCTCAAAATGGAAACAGAAGTCATTCTGAGTCAATCTCCACTCTGGCATGACACACGGCATGACACAGGACCACAATAAGTCACAACAATAAATGGCTCTGCTAGTTCGGGGCGTCTCTCACGACCAGCCTTTGTTTGCCTGGTCAATAACATAGTTGGCAACGTCCTCACAATGTCACTCAGGGCACCGGAAAGAACGCAAAGAACGCGCTTAGCACGGAAGCACGGTGCGGAGCATGGTGCAGAGCCTCGATGTCTTCGGCCCCTAGCCGCTCGCCAAAGGCCGGCATTGCGTTCTTGCCGTTTGTGACCTGCACAAGACCGAGACTTGAAAGTGAGTCTTAAGCACAGCGATGCAAAAAGATCGTGGTTGAAGTATAGTTCGCCTCTCCATGTGTAACATGGTAACACGTGCAAGGAGAAGCTGTCCTGATATTTTATTCGCTCCACGTCAAACATCCCGTACCTTGGTGACCGAGCGGAGGTGAGACGAGATGTGAGCGCTCGGAGAGCAAAAGCTGCTATAGCAAGGTGTGCTGAGAGAGAGGTGAGAGGTGAGAGGTGAGAGGTGAGAGGAGCTGATTGTTTTTCTTTTATTTCGAGTGCGCTTCATCTCAAAGTTCTGGGCGGGCCGCGTTTGCAGGGCGTCCTTCTTGAGCTTCTTGTCCGGCTGCACGGCATTGTTGCCACCCGCGTGGCAGGCCGCACCTCTCCGACAGATGATAGCAGATGCTTAAGATCATAAAAGCGAAGGGGGAACATATTGTAAAGATGCTGAGCAATTGAGAGCAATAGACTGATTTTTGCCTTTAATGGACCATCAGGGGGAGGGCTAACTGAGAGGAGAAGATGGGGCGATGGCAGTTGGCCAGGAAGATGCCTTTGCCGCTCCTGGGGGAGCTCAGAGCTCAGACACGTCGACAGAAAACAGAACTCTTCCTCTCCTAATTCTCTCTTCCTCCTCTCTCTACCTCCTCTCTTCTCTCACCTTCCTCTCTCCTCTCTTCTCCTCTCTTCTTCTGTGTTGTTCTGTTTTCCCTCTCCCTCCGTGTTTCCCCTCCCCTCGTGAGCCGGGCCCCGGGCTCCAGGTCGGGCGCCCGGTCCTCCGCCCGCGCGGGCGCCAGCGGCACGCAGAGGGCCGCACAGAGGCCCAGGAGGAGGCCCAAGAAGAGCGGACCGAGCGGGCCGAGCGGGCCCGGCCCGGGCCCTGACACAGCAAAGCAACGACACAGACTTCTTCTCTGCTCTCAAATTCTCTCCTCTTCGGCTCAGAAGCCAAGGGATCTGCTCGGCTCTCTGTTCGGGCTCTCTGCTCGGGCTACGGCCGACAGGGGCCCCGGAGGCGCGAGCTGCTGAGGCACTCATCGCATGAGGCACACTGCCAAGCACGCCGCCAGGCACGCTGCTTGATCGCCGCTCTGCCGCTGCTGCTGTCTCTCCTAAGCGCACGACACGCCCGAAGACAGTCAGAGTTCTCTCCTTCATATGGCGTCATCTGCAAGCCATCTGCAAGTCATCTGCAAGTCATGCGCTCCTCAGATATGTCACTGAGATGTCAAAAGTGCTTTGTTGACCCCGAGTTCCAGGCCCCATGGCGCGGATGGCGCGGATGGCGCAACCGAGAGGTGCTCCGCCTGGAAGCCGAAGGTTTGGCCCAGTGCCTGATGCCGACAATCACGGGCAACGTCGGCCTCTGCTCTATGTTGTCACACTTGGCACCTTGACAATCCTTGATACCTTGTGCGTTGGTTGTTCGCCCTTGTGACCGCGATGCCCAAAAATGCAGAGAGCGGACCGCTGTCAGCAAAGCCAGCCGAAGAGAAGACCTCAAAAGAACAGAGGCTGCAATACGATTTGCAGAGACGGCGCAAGACTGGGCAAAGCTCGGAAAAGCAGGGCAAAGCCGAGGCTCCCACGCCATCACCTTGCCTGCGCTCCTTGCGCGGCCGAGGTCCAGCTGTGAGCACCAGCAGCACACAGCGTTCACGGGTGAGTGCCGAGACGTGCTGTTTGCGCCTTTGCAATACATGCGGTGCTAAGTCGAGCCACGCCTTACATCTCAGCGAAGCAACGAGCTGGCACAAACCATTCCCCAACTTTCCTCACCGCGGCCGGAAACTACCAGAAGGAAGGGGGCACTCGGGGGCACCGAGAGCATTCAAGAGCGCATTTCCACCGTCGAACGCACGACTTCGCCATCACAGCAACTGCCACGGCACTACCGAAATCTACCAGCATTGCGGATCAGTGCCATGACGTTCCGGTAGCTGCACGCTGCACGGGAAAGCAAAGCTTGTTGGCCACAATCCCACGCTTTCCCTTCTGCTTGAAAGCTTGCACTATCTCCCGTGACTTGCTCTTCGACGCAAAGCCGCAATTCAACGGTTATCGATGCCTTTCGATGATCATCGATCTTCGAATCGGGTTGGTTTTTGCTCGAGGACTCTTCGACATCAAGAACAATGTTGTGCTCTTGACGTGGGCTTCAGGCATCCAGCAAATGTGGCTGAATGTTTGCATCCCTTTTTTGGAACAGTTGAAACGGCGCGTTCGGGCAGGGCAAGGAGCTGTGCGTGAGCCCCACTCGGTGCACTAGCTCTACTAGCTGGCCCGGCTACCTCAGTCAGGCTCATTCGCCGCCGCGCACCTGAACGGAGTAGGACTGGAATAGCAGCTATAATCATTCATGAGGTCAACGATACATGTCAGGAAGGGTACGTATCACACAGGGGCTTTGAGGGTTGCAGAGAATGGAAGACAATTGATAAATCCAGAAGTCTCACTATTCTTGCGTCAAAAGGGCCATTTATTACTCCGTTATCATAATACTAAGACGTTATAGCCCTTTCAACCGTACCTTTTCTATCACTAGTTAAAACTGTAATCAGAAAGCTTAGGAATTCATTTTTCATTATCTGGATTCATCTTTGATATTTGGAATCTCCGGAACATTAATATCAGTCCTTACAACAATAGATTCGCCTCGGCTTCCTGCCGAGAAGCGTCTGGAACAAGCAGACCCGGATCCGGTCTGCTTCCGGCGACGCACCCCCGCCCCCCAGCTGCAAACCGATGCCGTGGAGGGGCTCCTACAAAGGGACCCCCCCCCCTCCTCGCCACCCCCTTAGACCCCTTGCACACCCTGCATTGGACCCCTGTCCAACCTTCTCCCCCTCTTTGTCAGCTTCCCGCCGATAAGCGTGATTTTTTGCTCCTTACCCCCTAACCAACCCTTCCGCCCACTGGGACGCCCCGCTAAAGGGCGCCGCCTGGTGTCGTCTCGACATACTGCATGCTCTGGGCCGGCCCGGCTGCCGAGGCGGCGCGCGCAAGCGTTTACAATTGGGGGTGGGCTCTACCATCATTTACTATGGGATTTGCGCTACCCACCGTGGGCCCTCCGTTACAGCTCCGTTACACAGCTTCCACTAGGGCTCCGTTACAGCTTTCGTTACAGTTCCGTTGCAGCTCCGCTACAGCTCCGTTACAGCTCCGTTGCAAGCAAATCCCAAACTCTGGGACAGTGTCGGGACAAAACTGCCACGCTCAATTGCTTTTGCTGAGAAATCTTAGGAGGATGTCCCTGAGTGTCATCGAAGTGCACTTAGCAAGCTTCAACGTGCAAGAGATGCCCTGACCATGCTTGATCGTCCCAGAACATGGCAACAGAGCAGCAAGGTTCTTCACCATTGTGCGCTTAACGCTTCTCCAAGCATTCCACCGCTGTCTAGCAGGCGAAATCATTCAGACTGACCCTGTCAGCGTTTCGAATTCCCAAAAGGCGGCAGCTAACCAGAACCAAGCATATGGGCAGCCTTTGACGCAAGAAGTGAGTTCGAGCAACAAACTTAAGACATGCAGTTGGTCATCATAAGCGTTCCCTACTTCTGTACTGCAGGAGAGCACAAAAAAGCGGTAATCGCTGCTACAACAAAAGCCACATCAATGAAGCAAGTCTTTTTTGGGCAAGGCTTAGAGAAACATCTACTTGCACCGAAAGGAGTAAAAGCGCCTACTTGGTGGATAAGTAGCTAGGTGGGTTTTCGCCACACGTGGGAAAATCCAGGACAAAGAAAACGGGGAGCACTGCATTGATCCCTGGCCACCTCACGAAACTCTGGTCACGCCGTGAGGCTTAATTTCAGCTGAGGTCGGGGTTGCAAATTCCACTCCTGACTTCGGGACACGCCAGCACCAGCACCGTTTGCAACCGTGTGACCTTTGTGCTTCGGCAGAGCCCTTCGTGGGTGTCACTTGATGGCTCGTAAGGCATACCTCGTGAGTAGGCACAGGCAAGCGAGGACGTTCAACGCAGGACTCAGGAGAGGCGTCTGCTGTACGAAGAATCCGAGCTTCGTGCTTGTGCGTACTGACCAAAGCTGCCCACAAACCGGATATGCAAAAGGCCAACTCTGACCTCAAGGGGAACGAGCCTCGATCTGAGAATGCTGAGAGAAACAGTGTGTGGTCTGAGAACTTCTGAGCGCAGGGGCGCGAAAGGGAGCTCGCAGTCCCAGAAGGCCTCGCTGAGACACGAGCGGGACTCGCAGAGACTCGCAGAGACTCGCAGAGACTCACAGTCGCAGATTCATGCGTCTCTCTTTGTCTCCCTCGTTTCTCTGCGTTTTGCTCATGCTTCTGCTTCTTCTGCTTCTTCTGCTTCTTCTGCTTCTTCTGCTTCTTCTGCTTCTTCTGCTTCTTCTGCTTCTTCTGCTTCTTCTGCTTCTTCTGCTTCTTCTGCTTCTTCTGCTTCTTCTGCTTCTTCTGCTTCTCTGCCCTCTCGCCTTGACCAGGTCCGCCACGAACTTGCTGAGCTCCAGGCAGGCCTGGCACTGAGCGACTGGGCGAGGGCCAACAAACACGGAAGTGGACGGAGAAGGGAGAGAGAAGTCCTAACGGATTCTGGAGAATACATTGAATAGCATTGAATACATCCCTTCTGAAAATCGGTTTTCATTCCGTTGTTCAGTCCGTCTAACTGTCCGACTCATTTTTCTGCGCGTGCCCCCTGTTCTCCGCACTCACGCACCAGTTCTCCAGAAACCGGCCCAAACAGCAACTCGCAACACAAAAACTATGAAGTGAAAGGTCTGCCGTCACTGCTGTCTGCTGGCCAGAGTGCCAGAGCGGACTTCCGTCGATCCGTCGTGGTGCTGTTGATCGCGTTGGCCTTCTCCCTGGCTCGGTCTGCTTTCACCTTCAGTGAGAGAAAACGCTCTCAATGAAAGCAGAGAAGCGCATGTGGCAAGCAATGAAATTATACCATCCACAGCACACGCTGACCCTTCTCACATCCCTTCTCAGCGTGTTCTCACCTTGCTCACCACGATCTCCACCACCGCCAGGACTAGCTGACACCAGTTGGCATAGTACCTGAGCACACGAGACTGGTGACACCCAAAGCGCACGCCCACAACTTCCACAAGGGCGGCACTCGGTGCGGGGGTGCAGCGTTCCCTTGCGCACAATCCCAACCTTCTCAAGCGAGGTCCAATCCTGATGCGCGCATGAAGCAGGCGGGTCCACAATGTGCACCTCCCCGCTTGAAGCATCTTTCGCGACATTTTGCAGCTTCTTCCATGTGTGGAGCGGGGTGTTGGAGGGGGGGGGGGGTATTCACGTCCGTGGTGCCCGCTGATGCTCATATCCTCTCATCCTCAACCCATACAGCAGTGCAAGGCCCCAAGCCCTCAATTTCAACTCCGAAGCCGTCACAAAGGCAGCCAGGTCCAAGTATTCCAAGTTTGCTCTGTTTAACTCTGTTTAAGATTTTAGGTTGGTAGCGGAAGCCAGCGGAGCAGGTGTGCTCCAGGTTCTCTGTGTTTTCTTCTCTCCTCTGAGCTCTCTTTTCGCATCCTCGGAGATGTCGGCCACGAGGTTCGCCAGGATGTCCGTGAAGAGGAGCGAGCGGAAGAGGAAGCTTCTTAGAGGGGGGGGGGGGTGATTTGACAAAGAAATCTTGGCAATATCAGCATATCTGGCATATCTGGCATATCTGCTTGTGAGCACACCTCCGCTGTCAGTTAAGGCACTTCTCCTCTCGTGCTTCCGCCACGTCCTCCAAGTGTTTTGCAAACCTTCCAAGGGTCCGAGAGTTTTACCAGCGGAGACTGCACGGAGGTCTCGCAGAGCTCTTAAGATCTGACAGCACTTTCCAACTCACACTGACAACAACCATTGCACAATTGCGCACCGTGCCGCTAAGTGCTCCCTTCGACAGCAGTGCCTGAAGAGCTTGAAGAATCGCCGGGCTGTGGACAGGTTCTTGGACAACGTCTCGAAATGTTTGCCTGGCTCCATACGCTCCATACAACAGTATTCATGAAGAAGGCCTCATTGCAAAATCTCATACTCAACTACTAAACTACGCTCTGACTTCATGATCCGCATGTCGGGCTGACCCCAGTCTTTGGTACCAGCCCCTGCGTTCCAAGCCGGCTCAACTACCAACAACTCCACCAACATAAAATGCACTCACTTCGTCCCGAAAATGGTACGTGCTGTAGGTGTAGGGGCGCAGCGGAGCAAAAAGTACGAGACCAATTTCGCAGCGTACCTCACATGTGAAGGGCCCAAGTCTTGAAAACTCAGCAATTTCGCTTGTCTGGGCAGTGCGCTGCGCAATTTTCAAGAACTTCTCCCGGGTCTGTGCGCTCGACAGGATCTTGTTGGCAGCCTGTGATCTGGCCAATCAGCGGCTAATCATTTAATCCGATCGGCCAAAAAGCTCCAGACAGTGCCCGCGGCGACTTCCTCAGGAAGCTAAGACGCGCGCTTTCAAGTCAATGTCCTTATCGGAAAGAGGCAACCTCTTGAAACACGGGATAACATACAACTCATACAACATCTCCAGCAAGTGTCATGTGTGGCACCTGAGCGCGAGTGACATGGAGGGTTCTTGCCCCTTGCTTTCCATACTTGAACTTGACAACCTCTCTTCGTATGCGTTGGTCACTAACTGCATCACAGCATATGGGAACGCCTAACCTTGAGTCCTTGAGCACTCTGATCATCGCACATGCACTGGCATACATGCCCAGATACATGTGCAGACACATGTGCTTGTATATGTGCTTGCAGCAGCCGGCTGCCTACACAGGAACATTCCTTGTCATTGCTGATGTCGCACGCCACGCCAGTGCTTCAGGTGGAAAAACTCATGAAAGTTCTCGTGCGTCGAGACTATTTACATGTTATGGCGCTCTACTACTAAGAGGACCCTGAAAGTCGTACAGTAAATAAGACGAGACTTGAACACTCCCTCTCTCCCTCTCTCCACACACACACACACAAACGTACAAAACACCCACACCTGGGCCCACAACCTCCCTTCACAAGTAGCGTCCACTCTCTCCCTTCTCCACAATCGCACCTTCCTCCATCTTCCTCCTTTTTGCGCTCAAACCGCAAGGCGAGGCTTCGGCCCGAGAGTTCGAGCAAGAAAAACGAATCGCTTCTCTCCCCGCGCCTTCTCTCAGACGCTTTGTTCACTTTGTTCACTTTGTTCACTTTGTTCACTTTGTTCGCTTTGTTCTCTCAACTCAGAGAGAGAGAGCCCACGAGATGGGCCCCACTTCTCTACTCCGCTTCTGCGCAGTGTTCGCAGCACATCTCCACACCGCTGCTCGTGAACCGCCCGCGCCGACTCGAATTCCGGCGTCAAAACGGAGGATCACCCGAACCGCTTCAATCACCTCACGTTGGCAATGTCTCAACTGAAGTGAAGCTTCTTGCAAGCTTCCTCCAAGCTTCTTGCAAGTCCATGCATATTTGAGGTGCTGACCAAGAGAACACCGCCGTGATGTTGTGACCGTCCGACTCATGCCTCAGATCCAACTTGTACTGTACTGAGGGGCGCGTCTCGAGGATCGGGCAGCCGTAGGAGGATGTAGGAAGTGGCGCGGAAGGGCTGAAGGATAAGGGATGTTGAGGGTTCACACTGTTCACAATATTCACACTTCTCACGCATGGCGTTTAGAAACTCGCCAAGTATTTATCCGATGTCGTCACCCTCGCCAGCCCGACCAAGCAGCCCCTCAGTAACTCTATTCTGGTTTGACGGCCGCGCTTTTCAAGCGGTGTCCGCAGGAGATTCCCACACGTGCTCCCCTCAGGGAGATACACAGCTTGTGGGACTCGTGGAGCAAATCCTGCGCAAATCCCTTTGGCTCCCTTCAACTGTTCAATTTGTTTGCGCGCCCGAAAGAATGCGGCTCAACTTGGTCTCATTTACGGACCCCCCCGCTCTCCCTCTCCCCACCTCTCCCCTCCACACATTCTAGTTGCCTGTCAGTCATATGCGAGCTCCCAAATAGTCTGCTGGACTGCCGTGTGCTCCACCGGGCCGCCTTAGACGTCTCTATGCAGTGGGTCTTGTGCAAGGAGGCGATGTCAGGTTCGAAGCAATCTGATGTCTCTGTGGCTTCGTACTTTTGTCCATCTGGGGCCTTCTGCGGTGCCGTGCCAGACGTGAACATCCCGGCATGACATGGCAGAACAATGTCTGGCTGACGACCCCGAGGGCATAGACCACTAGAATCGGGACAGGCTCGCAGCTGATGCAGGGTTCAGGGTTTCAACGGTCGTCTGCAACCCTTTTGGGCTCGTACAGAAGTACAGCTGCTTGGCACCCAGGGGGTTTCGCAAAACACGGGAGAGCGGCTCGGAAAGCGTGCCAAAAACCCCACTCTCCGACTTGCAAGGCCCCCGCGGGTTGGTTTACTCCGATCAAGTTAAACGGGGTTAAAACGAAGGTTAAGAATTTCTTACAGCCCAAATTCCCGAAACACGTAACTGTAAACGCTCGCGCGCGCCGCTTCAGCAGCACCCAGGCCGGCCCGAGCCACGGGACGTGCACGTCGACTGTCCTTGCCGCTATGGAAAGCGCCGCGGGTCAAGGAAAGAACAGACTCTGTAAGCGCAAGTGAGCTTGCACAAGCGAGGCTTGCGTTTTCAGGGGCGCCCAAGGAGGTCCCAGACAGTCCCAAGAAAGGGTTCCACGGAGGTCCCAAGGCAGCCCTGGTTGGCTTCGCCTCGGTTGCACACCCCCCAAAAACCAGCAATGCATAAGGGTTCATGTTCCTCCGGAGTTGTGGCAGATGTTGTAAAGATTAGGAAGTACGACCGGTGACAGCGATGGCAGGTAGAAGGAAGCTAGTTCACCCTCACCATGTTTAGTGTGCCTCCTGCTTGCTTTCTGTCTTCACAACCCCGCCCCCGCCTCCCCCAAGCCTAGAATTGCCCCTCGCCCCGAGCGGATTGGTTTAACATTATGATTCTGTTCATAGGGCTCTAATGAGTGTGAGCAGAAATGAACCCCATCACATTCAGGGCCCATCACGCTGAAGCTCACTCTGCGACCGGAATCCGGCTTGCAAACCTGGCCCCGGACACTTGGCACGTCATTCATAGCGTTTTTCTTCTCTAAATAAGTGCTAAGCCTAAGCTTCTAGGAGACCACGTGGCACCCGCGTTCTTTTGCGTGGGAATGCACTAAAAATCGGCGGGGCACGTTTGGGTTTTACAACGCGAATTAAGGGGAGGGGAGGGCCCCGCTGGACCACGTTTTCGTGTAGTTGCAGCGTTGTAGTCCAAGCGCCTGCCCAGCCGGTGCGTTGGTGTGTGGTCTGTAAAGCCTGGAGTGGGCTTGCCATATGGGTGGGCTTGCTTTTGGTACCGCCAAACGGTCAACCGTCCGGCTTCAACACGAGGGGCCCAAATAGTATCGCAAGAATGCCATCAGGCAAGCAGCATGATCGAATTGTCTGCAAGAAGGCCTTCTGCAATGTTCGGCAATGTCACAGCAAGGTCCGTGCAAACATCTTGGATGCTGCAGCACCATTAATGCTTTGCGGCAATGTGCCCGATTGGCCAGCAAAATGCGTGGTTTCCGGCTTCGTTTTTGGGGCTGTTTTTTGGGCAGCTTTCTTCATGCCAGCAGCAGCCAAGGCAGAGAATCTGCCGCGCCGTGGGCGCAGTTTCGGAACCGCAGAATTTTCGTTTTTGGGGTCGTGCTTTTGGCTCCAAGTTTTTGTTTATTTGAGGGCCCGAAAAACTGACCCAGGCACATTCAAAGCCCATCACGCTGAAGCTGACTCTGCGACCGGAATCCGGCTTGCAAACCTGGCCCCGGAAATCATGCTTTCAAGCAACCTAAACCAGCTCAAGAGATGAGTTAGCTGAAGTGCTAACTAAGCCTAAGCTTCTATGAGACCACGTGGCACCCGCGTTCTTCTGCACGGGAGCACACTGGGTTTCGGTGGGACCCGCGTTCTTCTGCGTGGGAATGCACTAAAAATCGGCGGGGCACGTTTGGGTTTTACAACGCGAATTAAGGGGAGGGGAGGGCCCCGCTGGACCACTTTTTCGTGTAGTTGCAGCGTTGTAGTCCAAGCGCCTGCCCAGCCGGTTCGTTGGTGTGGTCTGTAAAGCCCGGAGTGGGCTTGCCATGTGGGTGGGCTTGCTTTTGGTACCGCCAAACGGTCAACCGTCCGGCTTCAACACGAGGGGCCCAAATAGTAAGGAGTTCAGATGCATGAGAATCATGTTAAGTATTAGTCAGTTCTGATGCATGGGAATTGCTGCCCCAACAGGGGGAGGGGGAGGGGAGGGGGGGGGGGTCCCACAAAAAAGGGGGGGGGGGGGGTGCTACAAAATTCTGCACCGGATCCAGGTCTGCTTGTTCCAGACGCTTCTCGGCAGCAGGAAGCCGAGGCGAATATGATTCCTTCAATTTAGTAGGAATTTAAAGAGCTCCGATGCCTCACGAGATCTCCCGAGGCTACCCTTTTGAAACGCAAAAGACATTTCAAAAAACATCTTGCCGCGCAACGTTTTGCTGCAGCTGCGCTCGACTGTCTATGATGGCATCTGTGGCAGCTGCTGTGTAGATCAGCTCGTACTCACGAGTGATGGCCTGGCATGAACTCACATGCGATGCCGAATCGCTGAGAACATGGCATGGTGCTCAGTCAGAAGCAAGTGAGGCTGCCCATGCATGAATTCCGTGGTGCAAGCCGTCAGGGTCCTTTTTCTCCAAACGTCGGGCACGTGTGGATACATTCTTCGTGACAACAGGCCTCATACTTCATGCATTGCTGGAGTGCCTGGAGTGCCGCCCCCCAAAAGCCCCCCCGCGCCCGCGCCCGCACACACAAAGCGAATCCCGCGCAGAGTAAACTCAAAAACATGCCCCGCAGTTGGTTTCGACCCCCCCCCCACCCCAGAATCCAACTCAGAAAATCGCGCTCTGGATATCCGCACTAAGACAGTAACTGCAACTATCAGTAACTTTTGAAGCGTTGCGAGAGGATACTGGAATCTCTGCCTGCCTTGATTGCGAGCTGCTTGTCGCGTTTCTTGCAGTTTTTGCAGTTTCTGCTAGTCACCTCAGTCTTTCACAAATCCGCCTCGGTGCAGTCCACCAGGAGCCCGTGCCTGCAACTGCAAGGAAGCACAGAAGATGGACCAGAAAAAAACCTCGAGAGCTTTTTTGCATGGCAAGCTCTCGCCTCTTGTGCCTCACTTTTCTCTCGAGGAGAATCGGGAGACTCTCAGAATCGACTTTGATTCTCTTGGAGAGAGAGAGAGAGGGAGGGAGGGAGGGAGAGAAAGAGAGAGAGAGAGAGAAAGAGAGAGAAGAAAAAAATCAAAAAGAGATTTCGCTGGCTCTTGCTCGTTTGCGAACAGGCTGCTTACAAGTAGCTCTTTAGTAGGTAGCTCGCTCGCTCTCTCTGTCTCCCTCTCGCTCAGTCTCCCTCTCTTTGTCTCCTATTTTAATTCATTTTCTCCTCTAACTGAGGCCCGGGCTCCGATGCGTCTGCGGCCTCTGAGCAGACCGCGAGCTGAGATGCAAGAAGGACACACACACACCAAAACCAAACAAAACAAGATGAGACTCCAAGGAAAAGCAGTACACTTGTTTGTCCTCTCTCTCTCTCTTTCCACACATAAGAACTTTGTCTG